GCCTCTGTGGCCGTGACAGGGCAGGCAGTGAGTTCGGAAGCGGACGCCACCACCTCAGGAGGTTCTGCAGCGGATGCCGCCTCCTCTGGAGGTCCTGCAGTGTATTTATGCACAGGAAAGGCCTCAGGAACAGACTCGTGGACAGAAGAGGCCGCAGGAGCAGATTCGTGAACAGAAGAGGCCTCAGGAGCAGACTCGTGGACAGAAGAGGCCTCAGGAGCAGACTCGTAGACAGAAGAGGACTCTGGAGCGCAGTTTGCAGCCCACACGCTCAAAATGGCGACTGCCATTACAGGAAGGGCAGCAGAGTGTGGCATGATCTCTAAGATGGCGGGGCTTGAGAGTGCTGACGTAACCGGGATGCCCGCAGCTCGCACCGACATCAGAGGTGGGTCCATCACACTAGCAATCAGTCTTGGCCCAAGCTCCGCGTCCGACTCAGGCGTGGCGGCCATCTTGGCCGGGGACTCAGGCGTGGCGGCCATCTTGGCCGGGGACTCAGGCGTGGCAGCCATCTTGGCCCGTAGCTCTTCAATGGTGGCCATATTGGAAAGAATCTCCTGATGTGTCAGCATGACGTGAGCAGGCCCTGGGGTAGCAGACATGACGTTAGCAGCGGCCATATTGTGAAGAATCTCCTGAGTAACCAGCATGACGTAAGCAGGTTCTGACTTGGTAGATATGACTTTGACTTATTTGACTTAACTGGCCTGGTCTGAGCAGGTCCTGGAGTAGCGGGTTGGCAGGCATGACGTGAGCAGACTTTTGGGAAGTGTCATGTTCTTCCTCCACGACACCCACAGTGAATGGTGAATCAGCCAGCAACAGGGCAAAGTCAATGTATTTTTCTAATGACCAGTGTGGGGTATTACGTGGCATTAACCGTGGCATGTCCTTACTTAACCCATAACGGAAAATGTCTTTTAAGAAAGTATCATTGAAGTCCACTTGATAGTAAAGTTCACAAAAGTCTGCCACATATTCCTCAACAGAGCGATTACCTTGACGGAGGCGAACAAGATGATCTGCTGGATTCATAATGGTGGTCGTGTATTCTGTAACGAATCAATCAACTGAAGGAGAGTTGAAGTGTGAACCCAAGTGCAGTTCATTTACAAAGGTGATCCAAACATTCAAACAATAATCCGAGACTTGACTTGACATGAACAGGCTTGAACAGACTTGACTTGACGTGGCATGAACAGACTAGACTCACCGACAGCGGGTTACAACATCAATACACGACGAAGACTATGGGAAAGACTACTTAGAGCAAACAAGAGGGTCACATGACAAGAACAAACCAATGGGAAACAAGACATATGAGTAAGACAACCAATCAGAACATGACACATACACAAGGCAGAGAGACATGAGGGCAAGGGAAGCATGACACAAACAGCATGAAACAATTACAAAATAAAAGACATGGAAACATGAACAAGACAAAACCCAAACACCACATTACAATATGTAAGTATTTAATAAGTTTATCATTTATTTTGTTGCACCACCATCAAGTGGACAGGTTGTTGATGTATGATCTACAGTAGCTTTCATTTTCTTCTTATATAAGCCTATTGGAAAAGAACTTTCAGTATCAAGTTAATACTTTTCTAATCAGTAAACACAACCAACAAACACAGTCCCCAACATGAACTAAAATTGTGTAAGTGATTAAATAAAGTCAAAGGAGGAGACGTGTCAGTGTGCTGAAGAAACTATGTGGAAACAGCTCCTCATTTAATAAACTGACTGCCTGTCCACTAATCTACAAAATGTTGGACATTAATTATATTCATTTTCTCTGCTATTTGGACACTACTTAATTTCTGCTATCTGCAAATGTAGACTCTAAAAGTCAGATGATATGATCATATGTTTGACCTAAATTGGCATACGAGCTTCCTCCTGCTACTGTTTCTCATTCCCATGTGTGATTTTTGTTAAAGAGGAAAAAAGCCCTAACACATCTAGTCAAGATTGTAACCACCAAAGACAGTGATGTTTGATTATCAAAAAAAAAAAAACAATCATAATAGGATTTCAATAGCAGAAATTAAGCGTTAGTTCTGACAGGTCACGTGAGTCAAGCTTGCATCAGCTGATTCTCAGCTGATCACATCTACCTATAGGAATACGACACCTATCGCGACATTCCTATATAAGCTCTATTCAGTATTATTCAGCAGCTTTTCAGCTTGCTCCGGAGCAAATTACCCTCCTCCATCCCCAGCTCCTCCTTTCGCCACAGTCAGGACTTGGCTTTCTGATATTCCTTGCTAATCAGACTCCTTTATCTTGAATAAAGTGTTACACTTAAATATCATTAAGTACATTAATGATATCTGCCTTGTTATCTTCTGTTAACCCTAGGGGGGTTATTATTGCTGCTCTCCCTGCTCATTCATGGCAGGCTGCATGGATGGGCAGGGAGTTTTTTGCCCAGAACCGAACCATACCGCCAAACCAAACTTTATGCTAAGTATCAATCATTTTGACGATAGTGGTCCTGACAGAAATGTTAGTTTTGGTCTTTAACCTAAAGCTCAAGTATTTTAATACTATTGTGACATGTATAAAAGCCAGCAAATGTAATTTATTTTATTATTGGATATTTCCATAAGGTTTCCCCTGTTGATGGCTTCATATCGAACGTGAAAACGTCAAATTGTCATGACAATGTCCAGTTTAACTATTAACCATTAACAGTTTGTTTTATTTGACCTCTTTGTCAGAAAATAGATTTTGGTTCTTGATTCTGATATACAGTGCAAATAACCAAAACCTTGTCAGGGCAAGGGCAGGAAGCAGAAGACGAAGTGAAGAAAAAGAAAAATAGAAGTTTATTAAAATATTCTTTCTTAGTTACACTTTGTCTGATCATCATACATTCAAGAAGTGTTACCAAACCAAAGATCATTGAAAATCACTGCTTCACATCATTCTGTGACACTGAACTTCTTGAAATGAAACAGTCACTCTGTGCTTTCTATGCAGCACAAAACATGAGAATACAGTAATATAAAACAAAGTAATAAGTAAAAAAAAAAAAACAGAACAGAACAGACCAGAAATCAATACACCAAAGCTCCAAAAATGCTAAAATGTAATAATGGACTATCACATGTGATGTTTTGAGCATGCAGGCTCTTCATCAGACAGTTAAAACGTTTCATTAACAAGCCTTTACCAGGTGATTAATCACATACATAAATTTACACTTTGGTGTGCCAATTTTGTTCTGTTTTCTTGTTATCATCGATGTCGAGTAACCAACATGAGCATTTTGCCAGTGATGTGCATGCTTTTGTTCTGTTTTTACAAAGTAATAAGTAAATCAATATTTGATTTATATAAAATGTATATTAAGAAATGGGCATGAGTACAGAGGGTGACAATGCATATATATAAAAAAACAACATAAATGAAGTACTTTTTGTATAGTATTTGAAAATATTGGCCAAATAAAATGTAAAGACAATTAATTCTGTCATTCTGAAATGTTAGTGGCATGCAGTCACAAAAAAGGTATAATTTATTTTCATATTTTGAACTGAACACACATTTCATGAAAACGATGTGCAGCATATAACACATACGGTAGGAGATGTAGAAAAAAAAAAAATATATATATATATAGGCCCACATACTGTTACAAGTGTATACATTTTTTAAAAGAAAAATCTCTATACACCGACTTTGCAGTAATCACTCTGTCACACATAGATTAACAGTTTATTATTTTCTGTATTGCGGCCATTTGTCTCAGTTAATTTGAGGAAGGAAAGACGAAGATCCAGGTAAACCTTGCACTGCTTTTAAAAGAAACCCATCTATGCGCTTGTCACAAAGCAAGGCCAGACACAACAGGTAAGTGCAAGACAGGATGGTTTATTGACTGGATAAGTGGATGACTGGAATAGGTGAGTGAAAGGCAGGTGAATGTCAACACAGTGAATGGTTCCAGGGTGTTTATCTGAGTTCTGATGGAGAGGATCGTATGCTGGTTACATTGGAGATCGTGGAGCCGTTTCCACGGAGTCGTTGGAGGATCGTGGGAGGAACAGCAGGTAATTC